GGAGGGAATAGAATATAGTTTTACAATTACACTCCTTTTAAATCTTTTAAAAGTCAAAATTAGAATATTTTTGTAGGGCGGATGGTGTATTATTATTCTTTCACATGTTACTTTTGTTATAACACGGTACCAAAAATTATATTGTATGAAATTAATTACGTTATTAATAATTAATTTTATAACTTATAATGGGGAGCGTCTAAAATGACACCAGTTACTTATACATAATTTGCTTACACACCAGTTCGTTTGAATTACCTACGGTACTCCGTTTGTAAAAATGACGCCCCTAACCTTCTCCTAAACCCCAACCCCAGTCCCACCCTTGCCCCCCACCCTAGCCCCCTTCCCGCCCCCTCCCTACCCTTGCAGTATATTGCCTCGCAGTTGCCAAGGTAGGGAAGGGGGCGGGAGGAGGGCTAGGGTGGGGGGCAAGAGTGGGGCTGGGGTGGGGATTTAGGGAGAGTTAAGGGGGGTAGGAACCGTCGTTCGTTAGGTACCCTAAACGAACGTGTGTAAGCAAATGACACTAATAGCACTAGTGTCATTTTAAACTTACCGTTTATAATTTTAGTAAATAAATACTCCCTCCGTCGTATAATGATCTTCCCGATTCATTTTACGAAGTTTTACCGACTTTATTTTTAATTCAATTTATTTGATTGTAGGTGTAAAATTTAAAAATAAAATTTATATATTTAAAAACTATATCAAAAGTTCTACAAAACAAATGGTGACAAGACTATATTGTTTTATCAAATACCTAATGAAAATAGGTAAAGAAAGTTATTAAGGTTTAACCGAGTAAAAAGTGTGTGGGAAGAACATTATATGACGGAAGGAGTATAAGTTATGAGTACATTTTTTAAAACCGTCAACACTTTAATTTATTTTATACACGGTAATAGCACAAAACTAACTTACCTTTATTATTATTATTATTATTATTATTATTTTTATTATTATTATTATTATTATTCCGCATCATTATTGTTATTAAAATGGCCAGGTCCAATTAGACCTAATTTGGTCAAATGGGTTCGTATTCAATGGGGTTTGATTTAGGAGAATTGGGTTTCAATTGAGCGTATTCAGGTTGTAATTTGGCTGTCTGGGTTACCATTGAGACTGTTCGGATTCTAATTGAGTCAACTTGGGTGGTTTGGACTCAATTGGATAAAGATTTGTTGGATTGGGTTCCAATTGGATGAATTGGGTCGCAATTGGATATGTTTGGTTTGGGTTAATGTTAGAGGATGGTTGATATGTATTTGGATCCCGTTTGGGCCAGTTGGACCCGCTGCCGGGCAGTGGGCACTGGTGTGTTCGAGGCTTTTGTTTTTGGGTCACCGATTTGGTCATGTGAGTAGCCGGGCTAATCCAGTGGCGAGGATTTGTTTTGGCCGGGACAACGGGCCTGAGGATAGAGTCCCTAGCCCTGATTTTGCACAGGTTGGGTAAATTTGTAATTTGGGTTTTGTTTGATTATGCATGACGGTGCTCGGTGGGCTTCCGGTCCCCGGTAGGCCGCTATTGATATGCTTGTTGATTACGGAATTGTGATTTGAATTAAATTAAGTTTATTAGTTGTAATTGTTAATTATGATTAATATCAGAAAATAAGTCATCTAATATAATTAGGTAGACGTGAATTGAATTGACTGATGGGAACACAGTAGGATGTGGTTAGGAATTAGGCTATGCTGGACGTCGCACATCTGATGATCTTATGTTAAAAATGTACCGTGACCTGTGGTGACATCCTAGGCAACCCGCCTAAAGTGATTCTCTTTTGAGTTTCTGAGCTGACCCTCTTATAACATCGTTTAGAGTGTCACGACTCACATGTAGATGATTTGCCTTAGCCATCAGTGATTAAGACTTAGAAGACACGATTTGGATGAATAAGTATGAAGGCCATAAAATGTTTTCATTAACTAAGTATAGGAGTACATATTCCTTAACTACTCCCTCCGTCTTAATTCTTTCTTCCCAGTTTGACTTTTCCACATTTTTAATTTTTTGCTTTGACTTCAAATTTTACCCTCCTTAAAAAAGATTTTTTGAATTTTATTTTGCAATCAATCAAAATATAGAGTTAGAAAATAATTGATGTAAATACATGAGGGTATTAATGTCATTTGTCATCTTTTTTTCTAATGGGAAGGTAGTTTTAGGACGGGGAAAAAAGGAAAGTGGAAAGAAAATTTTAGGAAAGGAGTAATAATTAAATAGATATAAGTATTTCTGATCATTTTCATTATAACTAATTCCGTAGTTAGACTCATTTTTGTGTTACATTCTAATTATAACTCATCTATCATACGCATCCCATCTTACTCTATTATAAAGTAAGAGTAAAATTAGAAAATAACACTAAAATTACTCATTTTAAGGGTGTGCTTTTTTTAAAAGGGTATGGAACAGAGGGAGTAGAATATAGTTTCACTCTTTTTAAATATTTTAAAAGTCAAGAGTACACTCCTTTTAAATCTTTTAAAAGTTAAAATTAGAATACTTGTGTAGGACGGATGGTGTATTATTATTCTTTCACATGTTACTTTTGTTATAACACGGTACCAAAAATTATATTGTATGAAATTAATTACGTTATTAATAATTAATTTTATAACTTATAATGGGGAGCGTCTAAAATGACACCAGTTACTTATACATAATTTGCTTACACACCAGTTCGTTTGAATTACCTACGGTACTCCGTTTGTAAAAATGACCTAAATCGACTAGGGAGAGAGAGAGGCGAGATAAGGTTTTTTTTTCGGACGAGTAAATGGANAAGTCAAGAGTACACTCCTTTTAAATCTTTTAAAAGTTAAAATTAGAATACTTGTGTAGGACGGATGGTGTATTATTATTCTTTCACATGTTACTTTTGTTATAACACGGTACCAAAAATTATATTGTATGAAATTAATTACGTTATTAATAATTAATTTTATAACTTATAATGGGGAGCGTCTAAAATGACACCAGTTACTTATACATAATTTGCTTACACACCAGTTCGTTTGAATTACCTACGGTACTCCGTTTGTAAAAATGACCTAAATCGACTAGGGAGAGAGAGAGGCGAGATAAGGTTTTTTTTTCGGACGAGTAAATGGACCACACATTAAGACTTACGAGAAAAGTTTTCCTTTTTCTTTATTTTCAATGGGAAATATTACTTTTTTGTTGTTGTCTATTTAGGGGAAGACAATTCTGCCTCGATTGTGTTTGATAATAGTGGAGACTCTTCCACCTCTAATTTATTCTTTTAAAATGGATTTTTTTATTTTTACCGCTATTTTTTATTTAGATTTAATTCCCAATTATTTAATTGAAATTTATTTCACCAATTAGTTACGAAATTAGCGGCAAAAATATCACCCGCTAATATAAATTTAAAATAGATGGTGAATAGTCTCGCTCTATTCTGCATCTAATTAGAGGTGGAAAAATCACTCACTACTATTCTGCATCTTTTACGCTAGATTATAGTAGTCTCAATGACACAAGTTGTCATTAGAACAAATTTTTCCTAATGTCCATAGCTACACTTCATGGTTTACCATTGCTCTTTCTAATTTTCAGTATAATTAAAAAAAAATTGTACATTTACCTTACGTTAAATCATTATTTAGTAGAGTTTAGTTGATTTTTTGTAGAATCCATGTAGAGTTAGATAAATTTGTAGAATCTATATAGAGTTTAAAAAATATGTAGATTTCCTATTGCTCCACGCCAAGAGGAGAGGCACTGGTATGTAAGAAACTTCTGTAAAAACCCCAATCGGATCTGCAGCAAAAGAAAAGTAGAGCATTAAAAAAGACCAATCAGATTTCCAATTTCAAGACCTGCTCCAAGACTTTTTCCAAGACCTGCTTTGAAGAATTTGCCTAATCTTTGTTAGACGGAATCCTAACCAGTAACCCTAGACAGAAGAGCAGTGACCTGTGCAAAGGAGAGAATCCCAGCGAAAAGTATGGAACTTATTCCGCCATTGATGGAGAAGAAGAACGGCAACCATGGTTCTGGGATTCTTCAGCAAATGACAAAATTCAGATCTTCAGAAACTCGTTGGTGGAGAAGAAGAAGAACGGCAACCATGCCGAATTACAAGGACGGACACCAACTGCTGCCACTCAACCTGCAGATCCGCCACCGGATCCGGATCCGAACTGCTGTCACTCCTCCGGCAGATCCGCCGCCGTACACCATTAGTGACGACTTTGATGCCCACGAAAGAGAGGACCGGACTTGGATTCTTAAAATCCTTTGTTTGGAGTAGGTATTTGTTCATACACTTTTTATTGAAATTTCTACCTTCAAATCCATTAAAATCCATGTAGAATACAAATCTTTACAAATTCATGAAGTGTTGAATATCTTTAGATTTAGATAGAATGTTTAAAATCCAAATTCAATACATCCAGATTTTAAATGACTTTTAAAATTCAAAAAAATCTTGCAGAGTTTGGATTGAATACACCCTCCTTAATTTCTAAATATTTCATCGTCACCTTATATGTGAAGATCAATAATAGTGAAGGCCAGACATTTTCATTGGTTGGCTTATTTTCACTCGCGTTCAATTTTATTTGTAGTTTCACAAGTGAAAATTAAACACTGATAGTCGACTTCACTAAAAATGTGGTACACACTAATGTTCTCAATTTTTAATCATTAACCATGAAGAAAAAATTACATAGTAAAAAGTTATTTGTTTCCCCCGTGCGTGACATGGGTTAGAATACTAATTATCTTATACGGAGTATAACACTCTATATGCTCTTGATAACACCGGTGGATTAAAATCTACCAATTATTATTACTAATACTTTTATTATTATCTTTGTTATTATGGATATAATTTATATAATTTGATAAAATATTGGTCTCACTATATAGCACTCTCAGCGGTATTTATAGCACTATATATATATTAGTCATTATTCAAGTAAATATTCGTAATCACTGCATATTATAGACATTATTTAGTGATATTTAGATAATAAAATACTTAAAATTCTGTTTAGGGAAATGACTTAGTTTTAGTATCATTTAGTGCAAATATTTCTAGAAAATATATATTGTAATATGTGCACCGCTCCACAATATACGTATAAATAGTTTAAGTTATTTCAAACTTTGATGCTACACAAACGACAAGTTATATTAATCGCAACTAATATACTTCCTCCGTCCTAAAAAGTTTTACACATTTTGACTAAAGTGGAAATTAAAGTAGGGATAAATTTGTGTTGACTTTCTAAAAATAACCTTGATTTGATGTGTAAAAGTAGGATGTGATGTGTAGATTATAAGGAAAAAGGTATGATGTGATAGGTAGGGTTTGAAAAAGTAAGGGGTAAAAGTGGTTTTTTATTAGAAATGGGTAGGAGATTATGGGACGCAATTTTTTTGAAAGGTGTAAATCTTTTTGGGACGGAGGGAGTATTACTTGGGGTCGGAACTAGATAGACGCTTCAATTCCAATTGGATCTGAACTCCAACCTCAACATGTAGGTTAGTTGCCAGTACGATTCACAAACTTCCTTTGCCAATAAGTCGTGTTTTTGTCTTGGATTGGTGGAGGAGATAGCTAGTAATCGCAACTAATACGGAGTATCACTTATAAGAGCAACTCCAAAGGATCCTTCATCTTCTAAAATAAAGCATTTTTGAATGATATTGTAGCAAAAATAGGCTCCAACGGGTCTGCCATTTTTTCAATGATACTCTAAATTAAAGGTTTGACCATCTATATTTAAATGGTAACTATAACAAGCTATAATAAAAACAAATTAAATATTCTAAAAAGTAGAATTGTAGGCCTACTACTTGTTAAAGTGAAAGAGAAAAGAAATGAATAAAATATATTAAATTTAACAAAATATTCCCTCCGTTTCTCAAAAGAGTTCCTCTTTTGACTTTGGGGGAAAATAAGGAAGTGTTAAATTGTAGTTGACTTTTCAATTTTGTCCTTGATGTGATTGATAAAAGTAAGATGTAATAGTTTAGTTGTTATGAAAAAGTATGATGTGATAGGTAGGGTATGAAAAAAGTAGGGGTAAAAGTGGTTTTTTAATAGAAAAGGGAAGTGTTTTAAGAAAAACAAAAAAAAATGAAAGAGGAAGGGTTTTAAGAAAAGGAGAGAGTAGCTTTTATCATTGGAGCTTATGCGATAAACTAGTACTCCTGTAGGTGTTCTAAAACATCATATAGAGGCTTGGTTTTTTGCATCTCCGTTGGAGTTGCTCTAAGGGGTCGGATCCAAAAGACACTTCCAACTGGATTCAAACCCCTCAACTAGCTAGCGAGGTTGTCAACACGACTCACAAATTATCTTTGCCAATTGAGTGGTACATTAAGTCGTGTTTTAGATTATATTTGGTGTTATATTCAATAAGATTTTTCAATTAATGCTTTCAATAAATTTTTAATGACGTGTTCTTATTTTGGAAATGCTAGTCCACATTAATACGATGTCATTCGGTTTAGATAGATATAAATACATCTCATCACCAATTTATTTTTAAACAATTCAAAAACACCGATTCTAATGAATTTAATCATTTTGTTTTGACCATTTCATCTCCTATCTAAACCAATGTGGAGACTTGGGGATGCTAGCTCCCAACACTTGAAATAATTTTGAAGGGTTAAGCAGCATTTTGTATTGTGTTGAGTTAAAACCAAAACCAATCAACTACTCTGTAAATTACCATTAACACTAAAAAGTTTATTGTTTACACAGTTCAAGTTGCATGTGCCCCTTATTAATTAAACAATTGTATCTTAATTAATTAAACACCCTCCTTAAACAGCACACATTACAAATGTTCTCAAAACATATTTAAAAGTGAGTTGCTTAACTTAAAAAGGAATTGTTTAATGAAACAACCGTTTCTTAATTAAAAGAACTCCTTGGCAACTGTTAAATATATTCTTACTATATTTAATATTAATGTATATTGTAGCTACAATATTTGTATAGGGTGTATTAATTATTGTTTCCTATTGTCATTAGGAAACCCTTGTATATATACACATGTAATCTCTCATAATAATTCAATAGAAAATATTCATTCTTCATGGTATCGGAGCCCTAATCTTTCACGGCTTCCCTTCCTCTTCTCCTTCTTGAGTTTCGGCCAAGCCCCCAACCCCCCTCCCTCGTCAGATTCTTCTTCCCCCGGCAACCATGGCCGACTCCGCCTCATCTGGCAAAGTCACCAACAACAACGAAACCTCTTCTCCAAATAATTTTCCTCATCTTGCCTTCACCACCATCTCCAACATCAAACTTCATATCCCGGTTCAACTCAGTCTCTCAGAACCAAATTATAAAAAGTGGAGTCGATTATTTCGTCTCTTGATCCTCCGCTTCAATCTCAAGGGTTTCATCGACGGCACGACCATAGCCTCCTCCGCAGACGATGCTGAATGGTATCAATTTGATGCCTTAATTCAGGGATGGATCCTGTCCACAATCACTGATGAAGTCTCCGATCTTGTGCTTGCCAACAATCTCTCTGCTCATGCCCTATGGAAGGCAATCTACAATCTTTTTCACGACAATAAGCATGCCCGGGCGATGCAACTGGAGCATCGTCTCCGTACAACTGTGAAGGGGCAACTCTCCATCGACGAATATTGTCGCCTTCTCAAGAACCTCTCCGAGTATCTTGATGATGTGGATGCTCCTGTCACATAACATGCCCTCGTCCTCCAAGTTCTTTAAGGTCTCCCTCACGACATCCGAGGTCAAGTTCAATTCCTACAATATCAAAATCCACTCCCGACGTTCTTGGAGGTTCGGTCCGCGTTACTCCTCGTTGAACAGCAGCAAAACGACGCCGTCTATGCCGCCGGCGCGCCGTCCACAGCCCTACTCAGCACCGGCGGCGGCGGCAATTATGCGGGCAGCGGACACCGGCAGGACCGAGGCAGCGGCTACGGCGGTTCTGGGAGCAGCGGCAGCGGCGACTTTGGTGGCGGCTCTGGCGGACGCGGCAGGAACTTCGGCAGTGGCAGTAGAGGCGGCAACCGCGGCAGAGGTCGCGGCGGCGGTCGAGGTCGTGGCGGCGGAAGCAACCAGCGGCAACCCTCGGGCCCAAATCCTTGGACATTCCCCTCCCCGTCCCCCGGGTTACTTGGGCCTCGGCCCTACCCGCCCCACCCCCTAGCCCAAGCCCACTTTCACCACAGCCCATATCCACCTAACCCATATTCACCCAACTCATATTATCCCACATCCAGCCCAACTCCCCCAAACCCAAACCCATTCTCCCACCCGGCCCACTACCCAACCCAGCCCTGCCCATACTCGAATCCCACACCCCCAGCCCACACCCCTCCCTACCCGCAATGCTGCACTA